TGGGTGATCATATCGGAGTTTAGTAAAAAAATTTGCCTTATTAGGCGAAAAAACTAATTAAGTTGCTTCTTGATTGTACCGACAATCGCGGTGGCATAATTTGGCTGGAAACCTTAGTGGTCCCATGTTTTATATAGGTAAAAAGCTCTACATCATATTGAAATTTTCGATATTGCGTTTGAGGTTTGTGGTTGTTTGAAACTTCTTGCCCGTATAAAAATAAAAAAAAAACATGAAAGTTGGGTGATTATAAAGGAAGTTAGTAGAAAAATTGCCTTATCAAGCGAAAAAAGTATTAAAATTGCTTCTTGATTCTACGGACAGTCGTGGTTTCATATTTTGGCTGAAAACTTAACTCCATGTTTTTGGCTAAAAACTTTAGTGGTGCCAATTTTGTAGCTGGAAAAATCTGTATCAGCCTAAAACAACGGATGAATTGAAATCTTTCATTGGCTTCAAAAGATCTTAACTTCTTGCTATCCATTTTTTGTTAGCTCTCTTCACTCAAATCCAAAAACGATAGGGAGATAAAAATTCGTCGATGGTTGCTTCCGATTTCAAACCAACTAAATTTGATCTAGTAGATAAGTTTTTACGATACATCGGAAGCAACCAACGACGAATTTTTATTTCCTTATCGTTTTTGGATTTCCTTATCGTTTTTATTAAAGAGCCAATACTCCTTGTTTTTCTAAGTATAAAGTTCCATAGGGACACATTTGGAATTGTATCAAGGTCATTGGATTTGATGAGTTATGAAAAAAAAACATAGCATGAAAAAAACCAGCATGAAATTTAGCATGAAACTTTAGCATGAACTAAAATGATCCAGGAGAGTTACATCTGGTAGAAACTTTCTGCATACAGATTTTTTTTGTCGGCATAAATTTTCGTTGTTTCCGTAACAAGCGAATATAGTTTGCTGTTTATAATTCCTCAACTGTAATCGGAATCCGCAAATGGAAGTGGAATCCCCAGAAAACTGTCAGCGGTTTCCGCTAATTGTAAGTCTGTTCTGTATTTTTGTAAATGATTCCGATTTTAAAAGCAAAAGACAGGGACTTAATCATTGTCAGCGGTATTTCAGAACAAATCTTGAAACATTGGTCAAATTAACCGAAGGATGTCACCCTTTAGAGTCAATCCCAAGTCATTATTAGATTTTTAGGGATGGATGAGTTGGAAAACACAACTTTTCATTAATTTCATAAGGAATGAAATCATTATTTGGGATTATAGTGGGTTCATTTATTTCCCAAAATGATTCAAAATCATCAGTATTTGAGATGAGATGGTTAAGGAGAAGGGTTTATTGAGAGATTCCGTTAGAGGTTTATTGGAAGTAAGTTGGGGCAGGACTTGATATCGAACCTTTGGTAACTCAACTGGCAGCTCAACTGGTCGTAGTAATTGAGATTGAACTCGCTGGGTTGACTGACTATCTGGTAAATAAAAGATTTAATTTATGTAACTGCTACTATATGTAACAACTAAAGGTAACTGGAATCCGCAAACGAAATGCGGACTCCGCTTGCACTTTGCGGATTCAGCTTAAAACTTGTGTATTCAGCTTACACTTGCGTGTTCCACAACAGCTCAATTTTACTTTTTGTTTGTAGATTCAACCAACTGTTCCAGATTCCGCAATATCGGTTGCGGATTTCGCAAATTCGTCTAATTTTGGAGAAATTTTGAGCGTTACAGTAATTTAACTATTTGTTTGTGGAATCAAAAACAGCAAAAAAAATCAAAGAAAAGTAGCAATATTGCGGATTCCGCTTAAAATTCACAAAATGCGTATTTTGGCATCGTAATGATTTCGTCACCTATTCTAATGTATCAAAATTAGGAGCATTTATACAAAGAGGTGGCCATTTAAGAACTTTTAAAAAAGTGTTGCATAAAGTTTGAGAAGTATTTTGCATAGAAAATTTTGTAAACACAATGTTCTGCCAGATTAATTCGCAAAATCAAATGTCACGCTTTCTTTACAGCTAATTTGGCTTTCAAATAGACTCTAAAATCGAATCTTATGCTATTTTTGCCTGAAACAAAAAAGCATAAGATTTCAAACAGGGTTTAGAGAATATCGAATGATGAATTCAAGAAAAACATACATTTCAACTTTAAAAATTTGATATATTGTTTTACCTTTTACAAATGATTAACAGAAAGGGGATTCGCCAGGATCAATAAGTGGGAGGCTTTAATGGGGGCTATCATGGGCCGCCTAAAATCTTTAAAGGAGCTTCAAAAGTTTTCGGAGTCAAAAAATAAAACAATGTAGTTTGCCAGCCTTTGACTGGTCTGTTGCATGGACCCTAATTTTGCGATACTGCAAGTTCGAGGTCTTCCTCTAAAATATATCTATAAATCCCGCAAATCGCTTGCTTGTCCGGTAAAATTGATCAGGACTAACGAATTTGTAAACGTTCCTATCACCCTTGTGAATCTGGTAAAAATGATCAGAACTAACTTGTAAACGTTCCTATCGCAATTGTAAATGGTCTACAATCGCAATTGTAGTTTTTGGGTAATAAAAAACTAGCAAATAAAAGTTTATATCAGTTTAGATAAACTATTCCGAGCAGTCGAATACTTCCATAACTTGAACTATGTTTTAGTGTAAAGAGAAAAATTGGGCTTCACAATGAGCACTTACCGGGCTTGCAGAGCAGCAGTAGCGTCTAGCCGGTGTACATAATTGTCAAAATGTGAGATAATGAAATAAGCAAAATTAGTTTAATAGAAAAGGGCACATTGAGCATACTGATAAGAAACAATTAAATTTAACCATTTTTTTCATCTAGTGTTAGATGAAAAAATAATTGCATTTAACATTGTCATTTAACATTGATCTCGAAGGTTGAAGAAAGAACAGAAAAACAACATGCCTAAAGTTATAAAGAGCAGTTTTTCTTCAATGATCTTCTGAATATAACGTGAAGGTTTTTCCAGTAAAAATTTCTGGGAAGGCTACCCTTGCTACCAGAGAAAACCAATTCGATTAACTATTCGAGTTTTATTCAAGGTTGACTGAAAAAGAGTTAGAGCGAATTATTCGATTTTGTATCAAAAAATTAAAAACTACCACTGTTCTAATTAAATACATACCAGCGAGATATATGACTGAGTAAGTGGTATTTGCAAGATAATTTTCACTGGCTTGAAGTTCAACAGATCTGAAAAGTCATGGGAAAAACCAAGAGAAAATAGAAAACGTTACTTCAACGGACTAGCAATTCATAAAAACTTTTTCTTTTCAAATTTCGAAGCAAATCCAATTCAGAGAACAGAGGGGTCCCTTGTGGGGCAACAATATGAGTACTAAATCTCTTTTAACCAAGATTTCGGACAAAAACATTTTTTTTTGCATTTTCGGTAATACTTGCAATTCGTGTCGTAATCTTTAATCTAAACAAAAATTTGCTGAAAATCTTGTTGGTAAAATTAACTTTTCGGTACAAAGGTGTACGATAATTTGACACAAGCTAATCAAAACAACCAATGAGTGTATTTGAGAAGATTTGTTCTTTTTGACGGTCAACCTCAATCAAACTTGAACCAATTTAGAGAAACAAATTGGTTAAAAACTATCAATTGGGGCTACAGTCCCTTA